ACGGTTTAATGGACAATAACATAAATAGTAATTAAAAAACTTTTTTTTCAAATCCATAAAATTGCATATTAAAGAGAACTGTTTTAAAGTCTTATTGAACTAAAGTCCAAACTCCAATTGATGCGTCATATTTCATCAGTTCTCATTGTTAACAACGAGTGATTGATTTGTTATAATTATTGACTAAATTGTTAGTTTTGAAATTTAAGAAAAAAATATTCAAACATTAATAATATTTTATATAGTTTAACTTTAAATTTAATATACTATTATTTTTTCATTAATAGAAAGAAATTATAAGTACTACTAATTTGTAAGGTGTAATTGAATGAACAAATAGATAATAAGAAATCTATAAAAATGACATAAGATTTTGAAATCCATTAATTGATAGAGTGATTAAAGATATTCACATTATCCCACCTTATATGAGTGTAAGTCTCAACATTTGTCTTAAAAATGTAATAACTCTCTAAATAATTAGAAAATACTTATTAATAAAGCATATAATTAGTTTTGAAGAAATATGTGGCCCGTACAGTCGTTAAGACAGTTGGTTAAGCCTGTACCGATTCCAGGCCCTACAATTTCCCTTCCAATTCCCTGCCCATTTCTCATCTAACATTATCGCCTGTCTCTCAATTTGATTTTCTCTCTCACTGTTTGGGGTTTCAGTCTGTCATGTTTCTTGGTTCTTGGTTTCTCAATATGTAGATCAATATACAAAATCCAAGACCACACAAGTTGAGTAAATGGATTCAAAGTTTTCTTTGGGATTAGACCGGCTATCAGTGATTAATTAAAAAAAGTTTTCTTTGGAGTTAATTCGAAGGTCGTTGATTATTACGTAGGCACCTCGTTTCCTTTGGGTTTCCCCATTTTTTTTTTTTCCCTATTACATTTAATTTAACTTATTCTCCAGTTCGACTCTTACTTGAATTTCATTATCTGCAGGTAGTATTGATTTTCTTTTTAATTGCTAAATCAAGCACTTCCATTTGGATTTTAAGGTGGTATAAGTCTAAGACCAGTGATTACTTGATTTCTCAAGCATTTCAGCTATGGAATCAGGAGATTCAAGTGGAGTCCATACTTGATTGTTCGTATAATCAGTTGCCAGAGTTATTATATTTACCTAGGTGTGATGTACTCTTTTCCTTTAAATAGGTTTAAATGAGATTTTAATGAGGTACTGACAAGCGTCGTTTTACTCGTCAAAATAAAATAAAACATCTTCTCAAATAAAAGAAATAAAAATAAATTTAGTATAATGAAAGAGGGTCGATCCACATGGACTTAGAAATTCATGAAACGATTTAATGTCGATTTCAATCCAGGCAACTACAAGAAAAATAAATTAGAAAAAGAGGGGTTTCACAATTGAGAGATGAAAGATAAAAGAAAATAAAAATATAAAAATCAAAGCAAAAGAAATGAAAACGTAAATAAAGTTGAAAACAATAATGAAGAAATCGGCTCATGCTAACTTTGTTTCAATTCCGTTTGATCATCGAAATTGATTTCTACTCCGAGATTCAAAATGAAAATCCTAAATCTTAAATGATAAATCCCAAGTGTTTTTAAATTTAAATTCCTAAAGATTTCGTCCATCTTTTTCCAGATAATGCTAATTGGACTGCTTCTAGAAACCGCTGCTGCTGATTGGATCTTCTGGAAGCTGCCATGTCAGATCGCGTCGTGTCCAGTGTTGTGCCTATACCTCGACCATGATCAAAAAACAATAAAAAGTTGCACAACGTGCCCTTTTGCTTCCAATTCCAGTAATAGGTCCTCTTCACAGAAAATAAGTGAAATGCAATCAAATCAGTAGTGAAAAGTTCATAAAACAAGAGAATTTAAACAACGAACCAATGAGTGTCAATTGCAAGCACTTGTCAGGTACCCAACTTTAGGTTTTAGAATTGTACTTTTAAATCCTTAATAAAATCAAATTTCCGAGCCAAAAAAATACAAATAATCCTCATCAAACAGCTAACTCTATATGAACTAAGCGACTTCGATGGTAAAAGAATTATTATTATACTTAAAGTTCCAGATTAATAAAAAAACAACTGACTATAGTGAAAATAAAAGATCCTCATCTTCTTTACCCGCTTCGGCCAATAAAGAGGCAATCACCCCATCAGCAACTTCGGGCCGGATACCATCCCATGTCTTTAGAACGAGAACGGAAAACCGAGCCGAATGGAGTATGACTTCAAACGGATCCTTGTTGTATTCACGATGGGAATTTCAACAACGAACCAATGAATTCGATGTCTAGATCCGGCGAGTTTGGTGACAACTACGATCTGTTAATCATTTTGAGGCAATTGCTAGATCTTCCGACGATCAGACTACTCACCAAGATGGCAAATCGTAACGAGCGTCACCGAACCGACCTCGGCTGTAGAGATGAAGGATTATTTGAGGGAGCCAAGAGATGATACCGCTGTCGAATTATTACCCTATTCCCGTAGTTTATATCAGGTTTAGGATGCTAGTGTAAAACCCTTAGCCTTCCCTAGGTAAGTTTTCTCATTAATCTCATTTTTTTCAACTTTAATAACCAAGCAAACTCATAAACGTTCCATTCCATTTATCTAATATTTGATGTTTGAACTCTTCAAGTGAATTTAATGTTAAAAGATAATATTAATCTTATTAGAAGTCTTGGAGTAGTGACGTTTGTAGGATGTGTATGCATTGTCAATAGATTAAATAGTTTTTTTAACAAATACTATTCTTGTAAACGTCTCGTACTATTAAAAAATTGAATATCTGGTTTACATAGTTGAAATGGGTAACCGTTCATCACTAAACTATTTCACTTTTATTTTAATCACTAAATTAAAAAAAATTAATTAAACTTTCAAATTACCCTTGTTTTGGTAATTCCCAAATGACTAACTATTTTAGTGTTATTTTTATTATGATATTATATATTTTAGTAATATTTAATATCAATTTAAAAAAATCTTTTCAAACCTTAAATCATATCTCAAATTATAAACCTTAATTCATACTCATTCAAACTCTTAATTCATTACAAAGCTCTAACGGTGAGGTGGGTGTGGGGTTGTGATTTGAATGCTGTAATTAGGGTTTTAGAAGTTGCAACTTGGAATTTAAGGGTTATTTGAAATTGGTGTGATGTAAATTGGGGTTTGGGTGCTGAGATTTGGGGTATGAATATTGCAATTTGAAGTTTGGGATATAATTTAGGGTTTTATTGTTATTTAAGGTTGGGTTGTAATTTAGGTTTTTTATTTAGGGTTTAGATTTAAGGTTTGTGATTTAAATTTTGAGGTTGGGTGGTTTAGGATATAATTTAGGAGTTTCAATTTTTTTACTTTATTTTAATATTATGTAGTGAAAAATAATAAAACATATCACATCATTAAAAATATTAATAAAATAAATTGGAATGATTAAAATAAAAAATAAATGTAAATTATTAAACTGAAAATTTGTAAACTTTATTGATCAAAATAAAAGATAAATATAATTGTATAATGGATGGGGTAATTTACCCAGATTAAAATCGGGTTCTCATTGTATATTAAAATCGGCTTTAGGATACAATTATTCGTGTCATCTTCAATGTAAATACCTTGATTAGTACAAAAAAACATAACCGATACATGCATAATTGTTTTTAATGAAGACCGGAAGATGGGGGCTAAGGTGGTGGTTCATTCCAAGAAGGTAGACTTTACAAAAAAAAAATAACAACAATCACAAACCCTAAACAAAATCCAGTACCCTCCGGAAACCCCTAAACAAGAGACCCCAGAAGACCCCTAAACAGGAGTCCCTTAAATCACAATCACAAAAGAATGCAGCTTACGAGTGCGTGCGTGAAAATTTCAAATCAAATTTAATTATAAAATAAGATTTGTCGACTCAAATAACTCGATATTTTTAATCGACTCAATCAATGCTCTACCACTCCTGAAGCTACTACGTTTCTTTTCCTTCAAGCTAACATATTGCTAACATATTTTTTCAACACATTTTTTCATTGGAGAGGAGAAAGAAATAAGAGGAATGGAGAAGGGGAAAGGTTATGGAAAGAAGAAAAAAATGTATGAAGTTTTAAATTTTAATGTTCTCATCTCATTATTTTTTAACCCATGCATTCAAACATTTTTTTTTTTAAAATGGGAAAAATTTCTCTTAAGTCCTTTAACTTTGACTCTTAATTTAAAAATAATCTTTTTAACACGTTTTGAACCAAATCACTAGTCTAAAGGTGTGAAGAAAAGTCCATGGTTGTTTTCGTTGGCTGCAGTATTTAGGACGTGTTGGATTGTTATGCTTCGAGATTTGTTAGAATTTCATGTGGTGGAGTAAAGAAGTCAAATGATGTTTAATGAGGGCAGACCAGTAGCACAGGATGAAGGCCGAAGAAGAATGAATAGGTGTTGCTTTTCCAGGTTTGATGCCTTCTTTAGCCGACTAGTTAGGTTGGTCGGTCTTGCTTTTAATTTTTCTTAGACGTATGTATCAGCCTAAGTAGAATTGTATTGTTTGTTCTTTTTATAGCCGCTCATCATCAGGGTTGTTATTCCTCCTAAGTTTGGTGATAGTCTGATGATCTGTGGTTCTTACTTAGGTTAGTGATATGCTCTTCAAACTCGGGTTTGCTGTTTATATTAAGCATTCATGTGGCTTGAGTACCGTGTGTTTTGTCTTGTTGTGAGAACTTTTGAAGTGTCGTGTTTGCACTTAGTTAGAGTACTCTTTTCCTCCATTTATATACATACAATCATATAAATTATTGAATAATATTCCTATGATTGTAAAGCAAAGCTATGATACTTATGTTGCAAGCCTTGACCTTCATAATAAGAAAGTTACTGAATTTAGTTCTTAGACAAGCAAAGTTTTAATATCCATGCTAAAAAGGTTTTGACAAAAGCCATCATCAAGAATTTAAATAACGGTCGTTGTTTTACGATTTGAACTCTCTCCGGCTCATCGCACTTTGATCTTAACTAGAAAAAGGAGTTTGTGCAGACCTTGATATGCTTCATCGGGTTCGCGACATCCATACCACCGGCGTGCTTCACGAACTCTTCCGGTGAAAGGAAATGCCCGTGGCAAACACATACTATGATCACCTGTTCTTTGGTGTATTTGTAAAGAAACCCTTCTATTTTCCTCCCGTCGGGGCCGGTGGTGGTCACGGTAGGCATTGCGTTCATCACAGCCATCCCATCGTCTTGAAGCATCCTACTGGAAAGTTTAGCCTTCTTGGCCGCATTCTCGGATTCGGTTTCCTTGAGCTCGAGTTTCACCAAGTTTCCGGCTCCGGAAGTGATCCCTAGTTCGGACTTCATTAGGTTAGAAGATGATGGTGCACCTAGTCCTGCATTGAATTTTTTTCAAACACCATATGCATTCGAATATGTGTATCTAAGCCATGATGTTAGGATTTTTCATTTTCAATGTCCAAATGATGAAAAAGTAAGTGATTAAAGGAAAGAGCATAAATTATGGATGCTTTAGACCTAAGTTATTCGAAATTTTCATTTTTCATTAAATATTTACTTTTAAAGTATGTTCGACATATATTCGAATCTTAAATCTATTTAATGCGTGTCCGACATATATTCGAATCTTAGATCTATCTGACGCGTGTCCGACAAATATTCGAATCTCAAATTTATTTAAGGTATGTTCGACAAATATTTGAATATAAGATCTATTTAACGTATGTTCGACATATATTCGAATATCGGATTTATCTAATACTGTTTCTTATTTTTTATAGTATGAATATCTAAACCTGTCAATGCTGAGTCAAATTAAGCACAAGCTGTAAGAACTCGAGTTGAACGTGAAAATTGAAACTACTAGAAGCTAAATAAAAATCAAAAGGCTCAAACTCGTTAAATTCGAAAGAGATTCCCTCGAGGAAAGAAAAAAAGGGTCATACCTTTGTGTATGTTATCAATGGCTGTATTAAGCGCAGGGTTTGTAGCAGCAGCTTCAGCAGGCGCCGCCGTTAAGAACCTTTCCTTATCAGTCCCTTTCATGGCATTCCTATGCTTCTCCTCGGCTCTTCTCTTCGCCTCAGCTCGCTTCATCATCCTTAACTCCTTAATGTTCACCACCCTTCTACTCCTCTCCACTTCCACAGGCAACGAACAAGACCTCGGCATCGGAAGATAACTCTTAGGCGTGGTGTTTTCCACCTGTTCGATGGAACTCCTCTTGAGGATCACCATTTTTCCTGGTATGGATGATGACCTGGTTAAAGGCTTTTGTTCGGTACTGTAGTTCCCAGTACCGTAAATCCCTCCCAGAGACAGCCTAAGATTAAGGTCGGGTCCAGGAAAGGAATCTTGGGTTTGGTTCAAAACATGGTTTTCGAATGCAAAACCCCGAAAAAATTGAATCGGTGGTTGTTGTTCGACCTTGTCTTCGATGATCACTTTAGCTTCCGCCATTAAACAAGGTCAAAGAACTTCCCCTTCCTTTTAAAAAAAGAAAAAACCACAGATTCATAAACAAATCAGTAGAAAGAATCAAACACATCAAAAATAAAACACTGATAAGATTTAAGAAGGAAGAAACAAAAACACATGATCGTCAAAACGAACTGAAATTACAAAGAAGAGAGAAAAAAGAACGCTTACACGATGGATGAAAAACACAGAAAGTGAAAGTGTGGGGAGAGAGAGTTGTTGGGTTTGGGTTAAAAGAAAGATACCCAGATGGGAAACAAATTTGATGAGATAGTGATAGCATAGATGACACAGCACAGATGAGAATGAACCACACGTGGTAATCAGTGGGGAGGAAGAACATGGAGGGGGAAAAAGATGGAAACCTACGGTTACTCTCGCTCACTCTTAACACAAGCTCATCCGACCACCAATTTTACACCAAAAATATATATGTTTCCACTTTCCACTTTTCTCATACATACACACCTCGGATCTTCATTCCTATTTTACTTATAAAAATCTCTTATTTTTATGTTTTATTTTAATAATTTATTTTGGTTCATTCAATAATGAGAAATATGTATGTATATATATATATATTTAATTTTATATATTGATTATTAATATATTAAAAGGTATAAAAACATAAATATTTTAAGTCAATACTATGGTACGTTACTAACACAACAATAAATTTTTCTTTTCTTGTTAAATGGTTTGTTAGAATTGATGTATGCACATGGGTTTTGAATTATTTCATTTAGTCTAAGAGGGTGGTTTTCTATGCTTCTAAATGGTCATGCTTATAAAGATATTTATCCATTGGTGTTGGAATTTCTTGTTAGTCCACGCTTGCAAGGAAGTCTTTTCAGGGTTGTTTAAAACATCTCGATGGCCCATGAGGTTTTTTATTCAGGACTGCTAAAGCTGGAGGGTTCTAATGAGTGGCTTCATTGAGGCAAACTGGATAGAAGATATCATGCTAATTCGTGGAACCGGTTTCTATACTAGTGGTGTTGTACTGGACTAAAGAAGAGTTACTTCGACCTCGGCGGTGATGATCTTAGCTAGTGGATTTAAAAAGCTTACCCGTGGAATAGCGAAAGTGCAGTTCAACCTTGTATGTCGACAAATCAATGCATTGGCAGATCACTTCGCAACTAATGGTTTGCGACGCCATTTGTTTTTCTAAGCATGGTGGTAGATAGGGAGAGTTAGTGTAAGTTTGTTCTGTAGTGAGGGTAAGGGTTTTATAATCGTTAGTTGAGTTGTGTATTTTGAGGAGTGGAATCGATGTATTTTGTTAGATATTGGGTGTGCTTAGGCTGTTGAGAAAGGGTAATGCCAGTATTAGTTTAGATCGATCCATTTTGGAAATGGAATAAAAACATAATGTGGAAATACAAAAATAAAAAATAAATTTTGATATCAATATTTATATTATATACTATTAATCTGTACCATATTATAAAAGTTTAGTTAACCCCTAGGTTTAAGATTCTTCCAGAGAAAATTTTGAATCATACTATAATTTACTTTTAGATTTAATAAATTTAATCTTTCAAAGTAGGTAATGACACGTAAAGGAAAATGTGCAACAGCGGGATTTGAACCATGTTCAAAAGAATAAATAGAATGCATGAAAGCACTAAGCAAAACATCTTTACTTGTAAGCTTAAAACATATTTTATATAATATAATCTAACTAATGGAAGGGGAAAAAGGGATGTAAAATACTACTTAAGGTCTCAAACTTAGGACATTAAGGTAGAGTGTGAGTAAATTTTTTTTTTTTGGATAATTCATAATTTTATTACCCAAAATAGTAAAGTTTGCTACAACCAATCAACAAAATAAACAAAACAACCTAATTACAAAATCAATGATTGGTTAGACTATACCCCAAACATTACAAAGGTAAAAGTTAATACTATCAAGTCTGTTAATAGATTTGCCCCTAAGGCGAATACCAACAGCATCAATGATTTCTTTGAGTTTAATGTCTAGGGTTCGAAAATGACCCTAAAACATTCTCTGGTTTCGTTCCTGCCACAAGGAGTAGATGAAAGCATTCCATGAAATCTTCAAAATTGTGGTGATAAGGGATTTCCCTTTCCAAGTTGAGCTAGCTCGAGAGACCATTTCTTCTCATGTTAAAGCAGTATAATTCATCTCATTCAGCTTTAGGACTGATTTCCAAAGACCAACAACCAAGGAACAATGTGAAAAAAGATGATCTCTAGTTTCTTGGTGAATGTTGCAGTTAACACAGAGTTCATCTGTACAAATTCCCATTCTTTGTAAATGATCTCTGGTAGGTAACCTATTCAAAATGGCCATCCAAGCAATTAAGCTATGCTTTGGAATATGCATAGGATACCATATGAGTCGATGCCAATGAACTTTCTGCCCCTGCAACCGAATGTTTTCCCATATTTCCTTAGTCCGCAGGGAACCAGAAGCAATAAGAGGAAAAGCAGTAGACCTCAGTTTTAAAATTCTGCAGAAGCCCAGCTAACATTAGTTCCAGCTTCAAAATGCCAGAAATCCTGCTCTTTAAGATGAGATTAAAATTTTAAACTAGATTTATTTTGTACTTTTATAATTTAATATATATAATTGTTAAATTAAATATTTTTAATTTAATTAATAATTTTAAATTTTTATTAAAAATAAAATACTCAAATTAAACAGTTAATTAAGTTAAAAAGATTTCATTTAATTTTTTATTAAAAATATTTTATTTAAAGATATTAAAAATAGTTGTCATAAGTTTAGTTTACCTTAATAATTTTTATTAAAATATTTAAATTCGTAAGTTAACTAATAATTTAACAATTTTATATATATATATATAATCATAAAACTAAATGTAAAAAGTTAAAAAATCTAGTTTAAAATATATAAAAATGTAATCTCATTTTATTAAGAATATACATTTTTGATTTTATATAAATGTATAACTTGAGTTAATTATTTGGTTTGGCTTGGTGTCTAATCAACTTGCACTTTCCTTGAGTTAGAATATGTTATATAAACAATGGTTTAAATACATACAAATTAAGAATGTTGGTTTAGTGGTTTCATGCATGAGCATTGTTCCCTTCAACTTGGGTTCAAATATTTAGCAGCATGCTCTTCTTTCTGTTATTTTATTTTATAATAAAACTAAATGTAAAAAGTTAAAAAATCTAGTTTAAAATATATAAAAATGTAATCTCATTTTTATTATAAGAATATACATTTTTGTGATTTTATATATAATGTATAAACTTGAGTTAATTATTTGGTTTGGCTTGGTGTCTAATCAACTTGCACTTTCCTTGAGTTAGAATATGTTATATAAACAATGGTTTAAATACATACAAATTAAGAATGTTGGTTTAGTGGTTGCATGCATGAGCATTGTTCCCTTCAACTTGGGTTCAAATATTTAGCAGCATGCTCTTCTTTCTGTTATTTTATTTTATACTCAATCAGATATGTGAGACGTGTCACAATCTGAGTGTAATAAAAAAATTGTTGGGTTCGATGAAGCTCGATTATCAATCTAAAATGTGCCAAGAATGGGTAAATATGCTTTTTGAAGTTTAGGGAGTAAGGAGTATAAAGATAGGAAAATTTTCACAATGATTTATAGTGGTTCAACTCTCTCAATGAAGTCTACATTACTAACTATGCTCATCACTTAGGATTTTCCAACAAATCCACTAATTTGTTCTTCCTTTTTCAAGGATAACGAGATAACATTACAAACTCTCTAACTTTTCAAAGGCGTGGTTAGAACCAAAACCCCTTTACAAAGGAAAAGAATTGTAAACAAGAAAACCTCTAAAAATGAAGGTGTTTACAAATTAAAGCTTACAAAAACATAACTATTTACAAGAGAAAGAAAATAAAGAATGAAAAGCTTTTCTCTTGTGTTTGATTGCTTGGATAGTTGTTGTGTAACCTTCTTCAAGTGTCCTCAACTTATTTTTATATGTTGGAATGAGTTACTAGCCGTTTGGGAAGGTTTGAAGTTGTTGGAAGACTTTTTGCACACAAAGTTTCGAAACTCTGGGGAAAGTTTCGAGACTCTTCGAAAGAGCTGTTGGAAAAATTTGACCGTTGGACAAAGTATTGAAACTTTAGGTAAAGTTTTGAAACTATTGAGATAGTTTCGAAACTCTTGAAAAGTATTGAAACTTTTTGGGAAAATGTCTTGTAAAGTTTCGAAACCCTTGTAGAAGTTTCGAAACTTCTAGTAAAAATACTCATTTTAAGGTTTTGATTGGACTTTGAATTATTTTGATGAAAACTTTGAATAAATTCAATTTAGACCAAAAACATTTTGCCCTTATTTGTTATATCAAAATATTAGTTCTACAATCTCCCCCTTTTTGATATAACAAAACCTTTGAAAAATAGTTTTTGCCAAAAGCTCCCTCTTATCAAAACTTTAATGAAAAAGATAAATATTTTAGAAAATATTAAAGCTCCCTTTTTTTATTCTTAAAATTGAATTTTTCAAACCTATACTTCTCCCCGTTTTCGTTATATCAAAAATAATTCAAACTTTAGGTCCAAAAATAACAATGGAGAGTAAGTAGAGAATCTTAGCATTAAAATCATTTAAAAAATCAAAAGCTTCCCCTCAACAAATGTATTCCAAACAAAAATCTGACTTTAAAAGTTTGACACTTAAAAGACATTGAATTTCAACAAAGATGAACAAACAAGTTAATAGCACAAGAAATTCAATATATCTAGGTCTAATATACATTATGCAATACCGATTGTTGTATTTAAGTGCATGTACATAAAGCTATCAAAAATTGATATCAATTGTTAGAGTGATATCATTTGCCAAAAAAAATCATATGCATAAACATTTAAATTAAGGTCAAAAATTAAAATTTGTAAAAACAAAGCATTAAAATCAATTTTGACCAAAATTCATTATGATGAACAAACATTTATGAGAAATCATTAAAACTTTAGAAAATGTTCATCACAAC